CTGTCAGGAAAACAAACAGATTCATCTTGGAGAGGATTAAACCAAGCTACTCCTTGGAGGCAAGGATTCTGGGGCTTCATCTGACATACTTTGGACATGCTGCCAGGAGGGACGGGTCCTTGGAGAGGGACATCATGTTTGGGAGGGTGGAGGGACAGCGCAGGAGGGGAAGACCCTCTGTGAGATGGATTGATTCGGTGACTGGAGTAATGGGATGGGTGTGTCAGAGGGGGTGAGGTTGGCGCAGGATAGAGCAGGGTTTAGGGCTGTTGTGCATAGAGTCGCTATGAGTCGCAAACGACTTGAGGGCACATAACAACAACATTCCTAATATCTCACACCTTCCAAAATACCCTAAAAATGCCTTGCCAAATAATCTTAATATACTAAAAGTGACCTGACCAAGAGGAAAAAAAAATACTGATAATGGTACCTCTTGATGAAATTGTTTCTACTTGTTTTCCTGCCAGTCTGCCTTGTTCTCTTTGTTTGCTTAACACTTAACTCTTCAAGGGTCCAATCAAATTCTACCTCACAAGGTCAGAAAATGACCTTACAAATGCAGTGACTCCAAATGTTCTCACTACTAATAAAGGACTAAAGCTTGGGAGTCTGGAATACTGAGCTGCCCAACTAGCTGCAGGAACAATGAAATCTGAATCACTGCGCTATATTTTTTCCCCAAGGTAATCTTTATTTAGGGAGCTCTGTTGGCCCAGTGTTGAGGAGCTGGGCTGCCAAATCAAAGGTATATGGTTCAAATCCACTAGCTGGTCTGCGGGGAAAAGATGGGCAATCTCCTCCTATGAGATTTACAGTCTCTGAAAAGCAGATAGAGGATCGCCAATGAGTTGGTTCCAACTCCATGGCATCTAACAACAACAATCATTATTTATGAAGTTTAAGTTTGCAGTAAGTCAAGCTGTAAGGATAAGCCATTTAAAATAGCTTTCGTGTAACACCGATGTCAACACTTTTTGAAGCTGATCTCCAACGTCACTTGTTAGTCTCCGTCAACAGCCTGCAAGCCTTCGGTCTCACCAGCAGGGAATACAGCTGCAGACGACTATTTGTTCTGTGGGCAGGCCTGCTGTCAGTCTCCCTCAGAGAACAGCATCTATTTCCGCCTCTGCCAGTGGAAGTGTTGCAGCAGATGTTGGCAGACTGTGACATACAGTGCGTCTTTAAAACTTAGTAGGGTGTGAAATTTCATAAGGTCAAAAAATGCTGCATTCTCATCAGCAGATACAGGAGTTCTGTACTTTTCCAAATTATTTCAGAAAAATCAATAACAACAGCTAGTAAAATAGACAAACTAAAATATACTGGTTTTAAGTAGGGAATTATAACATATATAAAGCTAGTATTTCAAAAGGAAGCACTGGTGGCCTAGTGGCAAGAAGCTGAGCTGTAATTCCAAAGGCAAGCAGTTTGAATCCACCCACTACTCGGTGGGAGAATAATGGTAATCTTCTCCCGTGCAATTAACTGCCTCTGAAAACCTAACAGATATCAGCTATAGGTCAGCTCAGACTCAACACACAACAACATTTGAAAAGCCATTCATCATGTAAAACAGAATGCTTTATGAATGAAAATGTGTTCTTAAGGCATATTTCAAACAACAACAACAGGATTAAAAATCCCCTGCTACCAAGATAAAAGTCATGTATCTGGGGTATCTGGACAACGAAAAGGTGATTCTACAACTAACTCATACATATGATGGCAGTCTCATATTGTTGAAAACAAAATTCTCTGCCTAAGAATTCATCAACACAGAGAAAATTTTTTAAAGTCTGTCTCTTCTTAACTCAAATTATTCATCTTTTGCCTACAAGGAAAGGACAATTCACTCTACTGAAAAATGTTAGCCTGCACAAAGCAATTAGGAGTAAAAACAATAAAATTAATTGTATAATACTCAAGGACTTTTGCTTTTTAAAAATTCTCTGTTGCTTTCTTGTATTTTTATATATTATTTACTTCTGCTTAATAGTTGTGGAAATTATTTCTTTCTAACTTTTCTAAATGACTAGTAAATGAAAACATACAACCAAGGCCAAAATGAAGGATTTACATAGTTAACTGCTTAATATCAACGGTGTACACTCTAGCTCCTAGTTTTATAAAATGCTTCACTCCTGGATGAACTCAAAAAGGTCCTTTCACTGATTAGTCAGTAAATGCGAGTAGTTTGAAAAGACTAAAATCATCACCATCACCATCAATTTACTTGTATTATGTTCAAACAAATATAAAGTCCAAATAAATTTAAGACACAAGAATTTTCTGAGATATTAATAAGAAATAAAAATTTGAGTGCAAAAAATACTAAAAAAAAAAAAATCTACAGGCAATCTTGGGTTTCTTTTGTTACTATCAACCAGAAGAATGAAGACTGATTAGAAATGCATTAAGTACTTTAACATTTTGCAACCAAGTTCAATAAAATATAAAAATAGTAAATGATACTGCACTATATAAGACTATTATTGATAGTCCCTATGCTAAAAGATTGAAAGTTTACCAAAATGGAAACATTAGATACAAAAGCTTTACAATAGGCTTCTCACAGATCTTAAGATAACTGACACAAAAGGCATATAAAGATATAATTATAAATCAGCCATTACGGTAACTTACTTGCGACTGAAAAATTGTTGAGAGGATAGGCTAAGTCCACATCTTGAGGTTTCTCTTTATATCCTATGAATGAGCCATCTGTCTTCAAAAGGAAATATCTTGGCCTCCAGTTTTTTATATATTCTCCTACATGAGGAAAGCATGCATGTTAATGCTGAAAATATTAATAGCAGTTTTTACGTGAAAAATAAATTACTGTATATGCTCTATAAAATTGGTTTATAAAAATTGTTAATATTCTTTTTTTATTTACTCCACAAAAGAAAATGCATAAGCCTGAAACTAACAGTCAAGAAACACAAACATGTTTTGTTTTTAATGACATCTCACTTTGCAAATTCATTTGTACCATTATTCCTTCCGAGAACCACTCAAGAGGGCACACATTTTTCCAGGGTTTTGATTTATCAGGTGGCTGTAAGAGCACACCTTTAGCAGTCAAAAAAAGCCTGCACAGTATCAATAAAAATTTAATAGTTAATATATAAGGGACATATAAAGTAGATGTTTTTCTTCCATCTGTTGTTATATGCCATCAAGTTGCTTGTGATTCATTTGCTCAGAAATCTGCCCTATTTTGAGCCAATCTCATCATCTTCGACAGACCTAATCGCTTATCTTCAGTCACTGTGTCAATCCGTCTTTCTCTCCTGCACTGACCCTCCACCCTTCCAAGCATGATGTCCCTCTTCAAGGTCTAGACCCTCCTGGCAACATGCCTAAGAATATGTGAGACAGAACTTCAAAATCCTTGCCTCCAGGGAGCAGCCTGGTTTCACTCTCTCTAGGACAGACTTGTTTATTCTCCTCGCAGTCCACTGTTCAACACTTCTCTAGTAACCCAAGTCAAAAACACTGATCCTTCTATCATCCTTAGTGACTATCTAGCTCTTGGATGCGTACTACTAACTAACTTATTAACCACAGTAATTTTTTTCCATAATGAAGAAAAATACTATTTTCATTGCTATATTTTTCTCGCCATTTGCTTAAACAACATTCTGTTATCCCTCATAAGACTATGACTTTTTGTACAAGTCTGTAAATAAACTATGAAAAGGAACAAGGTTTAAAATCATGCATGCATACACTACATACAGTTGTTACAACAGAGTCAGAACTGGCTCATAGCTCACTCTCTAGCAGGCTTTCTGAGGAAGTAAATAGTTTGGGAGGATATTGTTCGTCCTGCTCCTGCAGAGCAACTGGTAGATTTGAACCACATGCAATTGGGACTGCAGAGTAGCTTCTTACCACTGGGTCACCAGAGTTCCCTATATGCACACACCACAAACACAAAACTCTTAACAGCAAATATGTAAGAAATGACTTTTTACCAACCTTTGCATAACAAAAAGAGAAAGTGTATCATCTGGTTACTTATATGTGGGACAAAGAAGTACATTTGGCCTTGTGTTTTGTTTCTGACAACAACTGGAGTTCCCCAATAATCCAATGTGTTGTTATTCTTCTAAAACAGCCAGCCAACACTTAAGTGTGCAAAAATGAGATGGGAGCCCAAAAATCTCACTTGGGAACTACAGGAAAGAAAAGAGCATGCTGAAAACTGACACAGGTGTTCAGTGAGTACCAGCCATCCAAGCTGTCATCTCACTGCCATGGAGATGGAACCGACACGTAGCTGACCCTCCAGTGGGTTCTTGAAGCTGTAAATCACACAGAGATTGCTCCTGTGGAGCAGGGTCCGTGTGTGTGTGTGTGTGTGTGTGTGTGTGTCTCTCTCTCTCACACACACACACACACACACACACACACACACACACTCTGACACTGCAATAACGTTATAAAGGACTATGGCTCTTGGAGCTTCCAGATTGATGGTATAAGTGAGAGGAATATCAAGTCTCTTTATAACATGACGCTCCATGAGAAAAAAAATCCTTCCAGAACTCATTTGTGTGGCTTCTTAATGTAATATGTGGTTATATGGAAAAGGCTTTATACCCCTTTCAATGAGGCCTAGGAGCCATTCTGGAGAATTATGGGAGTCACTGGGGTAGCGAGGCCTGGCGTCTAGCTATCGGGTAGCTGTGTGTAAGGCCAGGAGTGTTAACTCATGAAGAGCCCAGCCTTGAGAACCTTGAGGACAGAGAGGAATTGTACAACTGACAGTGTGCGTCTAAAGTCTATCCTGGGTATTCAGGAAGAGAGAAAATCCCACATGGATGGTTGTTGTAAGAAATAAAGAAGTGGATCTAGAGGGATATGCATCAGCTTCCCATTTTATGTATGACCATGTGTTCATTACTATTAATTCATCACGTCTCTTAAGCAACAAGTGGGTCCATAATACAGCAAGAGCTGAAAGAATACACTGGTCCCGGTTCTCAGATTTCTACTGGATATTTCTATCCAATTATTCTATCTTAAGTGTTTAATCAAAGAACAAATGGAAGATCACAATCTTTTTCTACAAATCAGATTCTCCTCATGATTGCTAGTTATTCAAGCTTAAACCTGACATTAGATATTATTGTTATGTCAGGAGTTCAGAACGAAGGTAGCATGGTGGAGGGGAGGGATCGAATAACAATGAAAGAATTTTTTCTTTTATTTTTCAAAAAGAAAAGCGAATTGGGGGTGGGGTGGGCAGGGAGAAAAGTGCAACAATGAATGAATGGAAATCCAAAGTCTCTGTAAACTTTCATT